TGAGTGAGAGCTAGTGAGAGTGTGAGTGTGAGAGTGTGACTCTGAGTGAGAGTGTGAGTGTGAGAGTGTGACTGAGTGAGAGTGTGACTCTGAGTGACGGTGAGTGTGCGTGAGTGTGCCCTTTCAGCTCTAAGCACAGGACCTCCCTGCCTCCCTCTCCAAGTCTCTTAGTTCAGATCACTAATCCTCCTTCCCTCTCATTCACTGCTCTGACAGGTGGAACTAATCTCCCGACAGATTACAATATCAGAAGTGTAATTAATGTTTTCATTTCAATTTGTGCTGATCCATGTGTGACTGAGAGTGTGCCCTCTGTCTGTTCATCTTATTGTCAACCTGTGGGTGTGGGCGTGGGTGTCAATGTGTGTGTTTGTGTCAATGAGTGTGTAGTTTAAATTGAGCTTTTTTTTTCCAGACGCTGTTCATACCGGACTGGCCAGGACCTCAATAACTGCCCCACCTGCCAGAAAACAGCCTGTATCATTTACAGGTGAGACTGATGCTCTGGCTCATCGGCAGACTGAAAACACTGAGTGATGCACTGAGAGACTGAGTCATTTACAGACACACTCAGGGACTGACCGACACACTGCGCGACTGACCGACACATTGAGCGACGCACCGGTGACTGACCAACATACCAAGTGACTGAGTCACTCCTGGACACACTCAGTGACTGACTGACACACTGAGCGACACACTGCGCGACTGACCGACACATTGAGCGACGCACCGGTGACTGACCAACATACCAAGTGACTGAGTCACTCCTGGACACACTCAGTGACTGACTGACACACTGAGCGACACACTGCGCGACTGACCGACACACTGCGCGACGCACCGGTGACTGACCAACATACCAAGTGACTGAGTCACTCCTGGACACACTCAGTGACTGACCAACACACTGAGTGACCGAGCGACGCATCGAGCGACGCACCGGTGACTGACCAGCGCGCTACACTGTATCTACACTGGAGGAGCGGGGCTCGAGGGTCTCGGGACAGTTTTCTGGTTGATCTGCTGTGGGGATGTTTGCTCTGTCTCTCCTGTCTCGGCCCGGCTGGTTTCAGACAGAGCAGAAGCAGAGTGTGGCTCACGAGTATTTAGACTCGTCCTCGACACTCGGGACCCCCCGGACAACTGTACCTAGACCCCCCCAGGGCCCTGTCAGAGCGAGGTGGGACAGGGCTGCAGCACAGAGAGAGGAGGAGTGCAAACAGAGCCTCCAGAGCCTCCTACTGTCTGTCCTCCCCCACACAGATCACAGCAGCACAGCTGAGGACCTGCTGGACAGCTGTTTGTGTCTCTCTCTGTCCCTCCTCTCCCTTCCCGTCCCTCTCTGTCATCCCATCTGTCCCTTCCTGTCCCCCCTCTCTCTCTGTCCCTTCCTGTCTCTCTGTCTTTTCCTGTCCCTCTCTGCCCCTTCCTTTACCCTCTCTCTCCCTTTTTGTCCTCTGTCCCTTTCTCTTTTCTCAGATTAAAATTCAATTTACTGGCGTGTTTGATGAATTAGTGTTGCCAAAGCAGGAACAATTAACATGACATTTTCAGTAAAAACATTATTGGGCATCTCTCCCTGCCCTGTGATCCCCTCTCTCTCCCCGTCCTCCTTGTCTCTCTCTCTCTCCCTCCTTTCTCTCTCTGTGGTTGTCCTGCCTGTCTTTTCTCATTTTCTCGATCTGCTTCATGTAAATGTGATCACCCAGCGTGCTCTCATCCAGCATGACTTACACACACAGAATCAGACAAAGTTATTATTTCCTGACTCTGGAGATTAAGAGGATTAAAGCAGCGTTTGAGATTCCACACAGGTTACGGAAGCTGCTGAGCTATTATGGCAGCGAAAGAGACAGCTCATTTTCGGGACGTCAGGTCTGTAGGTGGGCTACAGCCGCAGAGCAGCACAGCCTGGCAGCAGGGTACACCGGTACTGCTACAGTCATAACACCCTCTAACGCTCTGAATACAAACCAGGACACTTTCACTTTCAAATTATTTTTAGCATCAGGAATTTGAGTTTGATGTTGACTGCCTGGGGATGTTTTCACTTGTCAATTTGAATTAATCTGCGTGAAGGAGATTCTCTGTGAATCAGCCTGCATCTGAGAGGAATAGAGGCAGGGGGCACAGCGTGAGGGACTCACACCTGGACCGAGTGTCCCGCTGTCTGAGACAGAGAGACAGGGGACAGGATTCAGTCAGTCAGCTCACAGACAACCCAGTGACTGATCACAGCCTGTCTTCTACAGTAT